ATTTAATGAATGATATCTCATTTTGAATTGGAGAAGAGTTGAAAAACGTGACTATTTTTCACAACACAATTTTGAAGGACTGATTAAAGTAAAAAAATAAAAACTTTTAATAGGGTTGCCACCCGCTTAAAATTTGAGTGCTTTAAATATATATCGAGTCAAATATTGCAACGCATTCAGGGAATGGAACGCATTTAAATGCACTCTTAACCAGAAGTAATAATGTTGACGAGGGTTGCCAACTATATAAAAATTTAAATCTCTATAAAGAAGTATAAAATAAAGGTGCTTGCGTAATACCGAGTATAGCTCTACAATGTATTGCCATATTTTAGCTCTTTTTTTGTGTTTGTCTCTGCCCAAGGAAGATTGGAAAAATTTTCCGAATAGAAAATTCCGCTCAAAAATCTGAAAGGCTGGTAAATAAACAATATCAAATCAAGGTAGTATTTAAGTAATTTTTTTATGCGATTGCAATACATAAATGAGCTATCAGTTTTTTTAAAAATAGATTTAACTTTAGATAGTAGTACATATGTATTTTGCAATTGTGGAAATTATCGATGGTCAAAATTTAAAATATTAAGAGAAATATGGGGTTTCTTTTATTTTACCCGAAAAAAATCCCAACAAGCCAGGTCCAACAATAGATTATTATATCCCATTTTAAAGGTCTATATATCCTCATCTCAGATCATATTCGATCTTTGAAATCGAATCAAAAATAGTCATTCAAAAACTCACAAATCTACAAAATCGTGTTTTCTGACCTAAATCGACAGGTCGCGACCTCTAGATGACCTTTAAAAAATCTAGTGAGTAGGCAATAATATTTCTCATAAAAACGAATAAAATTAGGAGATAGGGTCTTGAAATATCAAAAAAACAAAAACATTTTCGATGGGCACCCTAATGTATATGTATGTTAATAGCACATCTTAAGAGGTCTTAACACAAGCTAACTAAATAGTTATCATGGAGGTAATAGCTAACCTAAAATAAATATAAAAACCAAGGGTACAAAAAACATTATATTAATTGGCACACTACAAGTGAAGTTATTAATAACCGATTTGTAGTTAGCTGAAAACAAGCTCTCTTTTTTTGCGACATGAACATGTAAAAGTAGTCAGTTGAATGCAACGTAAAGTAGTCGAGGCGTAGTCACCCCTAGTTGAAAAATAGTGAACATAGTAGTTAGTTGAGTTCCCTACAGGGTATGTAGCTAGTTTGTTGTTGAATATTAGTAGGTCAAAATCTAAATTCTAAAATGAAAAACTTGTTTTGGTTTGACACAAACTGATCAAACAAATGTGCACA